TAATAATGTGTGTAAATTCCTATAGATATGAAAAGAAGAATGTAAAATTCAGGCATATCAAGGAAACAGCTTGAAAAATAATTCTTGGTGTTGAGATTATAATCACAAGATTTGATTCCACTCACACAAATTCTAATCTTTATAGAAATTACCCCATTTATGAGAATGTTTTCCTGTTACCAAAATGTAAAAGAAATATCATATAATGAAGATTAAACATTTAATTTCAGAGATTTGTTAACTATATTATACAATGACTAATGGTTATAGTAGCTTTATATATTATAGCTACAAATAATACAACTCTGATACATAAATTGTAATTTAGAGTAAGTATACTTAAGTTTACTGAATACAGGTTTAACCATTAATGAGTTAAAATATAGTGTTCTGCATTATTTAGAAACCTCTTTTTTTAAAATAAAGATTTCATTTATTTTTTTGAGAGAAACAGAGATAGCAAGAGATTGCAGGAGCAGAGGGAAAAGAGAGAAGAGTAAGCTCCCCACTAAGCAGGGAACCTGATGTGGGGCTCCATTCTAGGAGCCCTGACCTCTCAGCTCATGACCTAAACCTATAACAGACACTTAGTTGACTGAGCCACCCAAGTTCCCCTGTTTAGAGACATCTTAAATAGTGAAAATGTGAAGGAATTTATTTTATATTCTTTGAGTAAGGAAATTTTTTCTATTTAACAATTGAAATTCAAAAACTAATTGCTTTCTATCCTAAATTTCAACCTAATTTTAGTAAGGCAAACTAAAAATTCATTAGGATGGGATTTTGTTTATACATAGGCCACCATATTTATGGAAAATTTAACCTATGATATGTATATACTAAAAATGTGTTGCATTTTTTGATTTACTATATCAATGAATATAAATTACTATATTTACTATAGCAATAGTGTATACATTCAAATGGGATAAACATAATTTCTTAGAGTATAATATTAGAAAAAAGATTGCTAAAGTTTACCATTTCTTCTGTATTTTAATTCTCACAAATGTATACTTTTTTGGATATTCATTTCAATTATATCCCTCTGTATATGTACAGAGCTCTAACTATAATTTTAATATCCAGTAATTTTTTATTTTTTTTAAATTTTTATTTATTTATGATAGTCACAGAGAGAGAGAGAGAGAGGCAGAGACACAGGCAGAGGGAGAAGCAGGCTCCATGCACCGGGAGCCCGACGTGGGATTCGATCCCGGGTCTTCAGGATTGTGCCCTAGACCAAAGGCAGGTGCCAAAGCACTGCGCCACCCAGGGATCCCCAGTAATTTTTTAAATGACATTTTACCCATGTTAGGTATTATGTTTTGATGTCCATATTATAATATTCTCACTAGGGAAAAGATCATTTAATAACATCGTCATATTCTTCATAATTAAAATTTAAGAGGCCCATAGTTTCAAACTCACACCTATTCTTTTAAGATACATTTTCTTCAGTTCCTGAAATGGAATGCTGGTAGACTTTACACTCATTAAATATAGCTTATCAGATGTTGGCCAGTTCGGGAATATAAATGATGGCATTGCTGTGCAGTTTATAACCTCTAATACATCACTTATTTAATGTGTGGGACAACTTGCTCACAGATTGGTAAATGAAGTCATGCTGTATAAAGTCATACTTTTCATTTGTTTTCTTAGCTTTTTCTTTGAATGAAATATGGGACTACATAAGGTAAAAATTAAGTGTCTTACTTTGATTAGAATAATCTTCATTCCCAGAGGGGAAAAACATGGAAAAATTTCTTGGAGTATAGGAAAGCTTATTGAAGCAAAATAGAGTCTAGAAATCATAATTGAAAACTTTAAAATTCAAAATGTAAAATCAGTATACATGCTCCCAAATACCCTTGAGTAATAAGATAATTTGACATATTTGCAAAACATAACAAACATGGGGCTAAGTTCCTTAATATATAACGCCATTTAAATACAAAGAGAAAACTGACAACCTAGTAGAAAAATGGGCAAACAGCTTTCATAGACAGCTCCCCCAAATCCCCCAAACCCCAACCATTTAAATATAGACATAGATACTCAATTTCACCCATAGAAAAATAGATTAAAATCCATAGTAAAATACCAGTTTTCATCTATCAGATGGAGGGAGTTCAATGTGATATTGTATAATAATATCTGTAATAGCAATAAATGATCATAAATCTCTATTGATAAAGCCTAGGAATAAATTATATTGATAAAATAGATTCTATGCAGCTGTTAAAGAGTGTGGGTTTCTGTGTACCAATATGGAAAAAATTAAACAGATACTCTTTTTTTTTAAGATTTTATTTATTTATTCATGAGAGAGAGAGAGAGAGAGGCAGAGGGAGAAGCAGGCTCCATGCAGAAGCCCGACGTGGGACTTGATCCCAAGTCTCCAGGATCACGCCCTGGGCTGAAGGCAGCGCTAAACTGCTGAGCCACCTGGTCTGCCCTTACACAGATATTCTTTGTTTTTTTTTTTTTTTTAAGATTTTATTTATTTATTCATGATAGACACAGAGAGAGAGAGAGAGGCAGAGACACAGGCAGAGGGAGAAGCAGGCTCCATGCCAGGAGCCCGATGCAGGACTCGATCCCGGGACTCCAGGATCACACCCTGGGCCAAAGGCAGGCACTAAACCGCTGAGCCACCCAGGGATCCCCTTAAACAGATATTCTTAAAGAAAGCAAAGTTAAAGTCAGGTACACTACAATTTGTATAAAAAGAGAGACAGTCTATACATACGTACATACACACACACAGTTCTGAATTTAAAAATGAGGATAATAGTTGCTTTTGAGACCAGAATCTTGGGATGATAAACTTTGGGTAGAAAAGGACTTCATTATTTTATCCTTTAACTTTTCTCCACCATGCTCATGCATTTTTTAAACATATAAAACAATCCTAAATAAAGAAAATTCTTAATTTACTAAACCACCACTGTGAATACTACCTGAACCCCTCCTAGATGCCACACATTTTTTAGCACATTTGTGATACCAACATGGATAAAATATTGGGTCTCCTCTTCTCAAAAACCAGCAAAGTGGTATTGATTTGTAAATAGGGTAAAACTTCGTGTAGTAGGTAGTCTATTAGAAATGGGGCCAAGAAGGGCCCCATTGTACAATCTTTTGTAGATCTCAGAGGAGTTTACATACCATAACTCACCTTCATAAACTCTATAGAAAAAATAGAACACTGTCACCAGAAAAGCAATAGTTAAGCCCGTTTTCTGTATTTGCTCACAACAGCCTGAGAAAATGGGTACCATTTTCATCCTCATTTTGTAAAGTTCACGGGAACTTAAGTATCTTACAAAAGATAATGCTGCTTCCAGTAAATGCCAGAGCTGGTATTCAGATCCAGGCAGTCTAGTTACAGGATCCTCACTCATGATAGCTGAACTATTCTACTTAAGCTTCATCTTGTATTTTGAATTTATTTCTGCTTTGCAAACAAAAGACAAAAGAATCAGAGGTTAAATAATTAGTTCAAGATTATACTGCTAATAAATGTGAGTGCCGCAGTCTTTGGACTAAATGCAGTGATCTCATTTTGTACCGCGCTGCCTCTGTTCTAAGGGGAGTTCCAAGGAGGCGATCTGGGGAAGAGCCATTTTGATAGCACTACCTGTTTAAAGTACTAATAACAAATCATAGAATGTGTGGTTTCTCTAAGAAAATTGCAATAAAGAGAACTTACTTCCTTTTTATGAATGTATTTCCTCCATTCAAGTAGTACCAAATAATTTGTTTTGTTCATGAACTTTGATAGGATTTCTTAAGAAATTTTCAAGATCACTGGATAAAAAACTGGTATTCATTTAAAGCCTGTTTCTGCTTTGTGAAAAGACTTTGTCAGCAATCCAGAATGAGGGCTGTGCTAACAAAATTCCAACTTTTCTGTGGGATGATCCAAAAACAGCAAACAGAAGGCATTAAATTTCTTAACAGTCACAAGTGCGTGCATGCATGCTATGCCATTCCTGTCATTCACTGCTTTTTGGTGTGCATAGATTAAAGTTGGAATACTTTGATTTGCAGACTAATGTGTTCCATAGGGAATTTTTTTCATATAAAAAAAAAGTAGCTTAAGAGCATGTGAGGTCTGTGCCTCTGCCCTACATTTATATAGCTCTTCATTGAATATGTTTTTAATCTGATGGTAGGATATTTGCCTTGACAGTATGCCTTCATATATCTAAGACATTTGCTAGATTAAGATCCCAAGTTGTTTCTCTTACTCAGTTCTAAAGCAGGTTTATACAAGTACTCTGATGTGAAACAGAATGTGTATTTTATATATACATATATGTATATATAATGTGTATTTTTTAATTTTTATTTTTTAAGATTTTTATTTATTCATGAGAGATATATGCAGAGATACAGGCAGAGGGTGAAGCAGGCTCCCTGCAGAAGTACTGGGACTTGATCTCAGGACCCCGGGATCACGGCCAAGACTCTCAACCACTGAGCCACCCAGGCGCCCTAGTGTGTGTTTTATATATATCATACATGTGATTGTCTATAATCATATATACTATATGATTGTATGTGTAATTTATATGCGTGTGTGTGTGTGTGTGTGTATAAGATTGTTAAGAAGCATGGCTCAGTGGGTTAAGCAATATCTAATCTGGTCTCAAACACAATCCTGAGTTTCAGTAGTGAGAAACTCAAAAGCCAATACCAGAATTACAGATTGCTTTAAAAGTATATAACTAAGTTAAAGAAAGAAATGTACATAGAAATAAAATGTCATTCTGTTTACCTAGAGATTTTCTGAGCCTTCTTCACTTTCATGCCAAAGTCACTAAAACATTTTAGAGCACAGTTATGTATTCACATTGCATTGCTGATGGTACATGTAGCATTCCCATCAATGTTAATAGAATGGCACTGGGTGGAGAAAAGAGCAATGTAGGTAACAACACATAACCTGCATTCAAAATGTCTTCATTTCTTCTTTTTTAAAATTACAGCAAACTCAGTAAAGCTAGAAATGCAGAGTGATGAAGAGTGTGACAGGAAACCCCTGAGCCGTGAAGATGAGATCAGGGGCCATGATGAAGGTAGCGGCCTAGAAGAACCCCTAATTGAGAGCAGCGAGGTGGCTGACAACAGGAAAGTCCAGGAGCTTCAAGGCGAGGGAGGAATCCGGCTTCCGAATGGTAAACTGAAATGTGACGTCTGTGGCATGGTTTGCATTGGGCCCAATGTGCTTATGGTACATAAAAGGAGTCACACTGGTAAGCAGCTGAAAGAATAACCTGATGACTGCCTGTGACATCTGATGTTGATATTACCTGACATCTATTCTCTTTCCTTTTTATTCAGGGGTGGCAGTGGTGAAACTACCTTTTCAGAATTCTGCTAGTATTGGATTGCTGAAAAGCAGAGAGTAGCCTGGGTCTTGACTTCCAGCCTTCAAATCTGAATAGCATATCAGAAAAGAAGTTTGGGATTCAGTTTCCACAGTTCTTAATATAGCAATAATATGATAAGGGTTCAAAAGGTATAGGAGAATCTCATTGTGTAACTTAATCTTTTTGTATTTCTATACATATTTTACCATACCCATGGGCAGGTAATACAGTTTGCTAGCTAAGAGTTTATACTATAAAATGGTACTCATACATTTATATAGAGGTGGATCATTTTCACCTTATCTGGTTAACTTCTTGGAATACAATTTCCAATCAATCTTTGCCTACCATGGGTCTCTGTAGTAGGCAAATACTTTCCCTAGTTTGAGGATGTTACCATCTTCCTGTAATTTTTTTATTATTATAACTCTTGCAAAGACATATATAGGATGCAGTATAGCCAAGGATGCTGGGTATGCTGGTAGGAATGTGTAATCATGGAATAGGGTAAGGAAAGAAACCTCAGATTAATTTAATATATACCTGTAGACTCTTGAGTAACATAAAAAAAAAAAAAACACAGCTAAATGAGAAGGCCTTATTTAAATCTCCCCAAATCCTTTGGCAAAATGAGAAAAAGTCTTTTAAATTAGAAAGAAACATAAATGATATTATGTGTAAGAAAGAAATTTTCATATGAAAATTGATTTAAAGATGATACCTTTATAATGCAAAGTAATATTATACAGCAAAATATTAATCATTAGCTGTATTAATCATTATACAGCTCTCAGGGTTTTAAAATATGATTCTCTTTAGAAGAGAAATAAATCACAATAAAGAATTTGATTTAAAAGATTTCTAAATCAGTTATTTAGAAAATTTATTTAGTAGGTGCTTAAAACATGAGAGATGCAATGTACAGTGAAGCCTTTTTAGTCCAAATCTCTCATTTACATATGAAGAAACTGAAACCCCAGACAAGTGATGTGTCCATTATCCCTTATGTATTTAGGGGATCATGAGGCTAAAACCAAGGTTTTCTGATGCCCAGACTGGTTTTGCTCAAATATACTATGCTTGGTATCTTAGTGCACCGACATTTAATGCTGAGATATGACCACAAGGCTTAAAAGTTATAACAAGAAGTTACACATTAAAATCAGCTTTGGAACCTGTACCCTTATTCCAACTCTGCAGTTGCATGTTCACTTTTGGTTTTGTTTTTAATTTCCTTTTTAAACAGCATATTTAAAAAATATTTATGTTACTAGTGCAGATGTTTTTTACCTTAAAATTTTTTTCCTAGAAAACTTAAAAGATCAAGTTTGGTATTTGATAAGAAAAATAGGAAAAGACTAAAATAATGAGTTGACTTTTCTTCTGTGCTCACTAAGTAATGTTAACCGCAGGTCTAAAAGAAGAGTTCTACAAAGTTATAATGTATTCATTATCTCACAGTGATTATATTGAGGAAGGTAACACCCATTCAAATGTGTAACTTCCCCCTTCTAGCAACATATAAACTAAAGCAGTCTAATGACTTTTCAGTTGAATTGCATATAGTGTGCATTTTAAGGCTGAAAAATATGCTAACAACAATTTTTGTAGGATTTCTAATAAACCTTTTATGATCTGAGTTAAGAAAATGCAGAGGACCTGAGCATGCCTCTTGAATATTTAGGTTAATCAATATTTCACTGCATTTGCAGTGATTTTCATGAGGATTATTGGTTTGTAAACACAAGAGTAATTACATACCAACTCTACTGCTCATTTGATATTTACTACTATAAGTAGAGTTGAATTATTTTGATTCTGAAAATCATCAAAATGACATGAATATTTCTAAATAGTTATACAGATTTCCACAAGTTCTATAAATATGGGATTCACTCACCTAGTAAAGGCAAGGAGATTGGACAAATAAAATCCTCTTGCAACTCAATGACGTTTTATTGTTAATGAATGTTTATTTATGGAAAGTTTCTGTTAAAGTTAATAGCCATTCATAGGGGAGCTTGGAATACCTGCCACACATTGTTGACCTTCAAATTGTGTTGTATCTTTAAAGTAGCTATTTTTATATGTATTTCTGGTGACTCAGTTTATACATCTGAATGGGTCATGACCTTTTCAATTCCATTTTAGTACTCTTCAAGAATAGAAAGTCTGTTTTTTAATTTAAACTAGATTGAAAAAATGTGGTCAGGATCTAGTCATTAACCAAATGTTTTCTCATTAAGGTCATAAACTGTCTTCATTTTAGAATTTTCCCTTCTAATTATTTATGGCTCGTATAAAAGGCACTGTTTTAAATCCATATAAAGACTTTGGGAAATATGTTTGTGTGTTTATTAGCTCATAGAATATCTATGATAATAGATTATCTATTATTGATAATAATAAAAGATAGACAGCCTTACTCAGTTAAAATGTTGTGGAGTATCATATCTAATTCACTTCTTCTTCTTTCTCTTTCAAACTCTACTAAAGTACCAATTCCAGTGTCTTATAAACAGCTTGGTGTTATTTCTTGGTGTTGCTACTTTAGTAGGTAATCAGGTAATATTGTCATCGGCTACTCCAGGCACTCTTCACTGCCATATAGGCAGAATAAAAGAAGTAGGGGTAGTATATCAGTTCATGCATAAACACAGATTAATGTGGACCATTATAAATATAAACTATCCTTAACTTTGCCCTTTTTTGGGTAGAGGACTCCCATCTTTGTAACTTTTTGTACATTGTAGCTTTGTGGAACCATTCTTTTGCTCCAAGGCCCCCTCAACAGGTACTTGGGATTTTTCATATTTGTAGGTAATTGTTCCATCCAACACAGGAACAGCCTCTGTCTTTGATTCACCAAAGCAAACTGATGCATATATACTTGTATTACAGTTGAATATTTAAACAGATCTAGAAATATATATTTACAAAAGTATACAAAATACTGAAATATTATTTATTTCAAAATAAGAGTAGATAACTTCATTTTGGGAATAACTATAAAAGGTCCTTGAACAGATTAGTAGGTTTAAAACAAAAACAAAAAACAGATTAAGAAAAAAAAACAGATTAAGTATATAAATGAATGATAGCATGGCTACGTATTAATTGTTCTCTTGGATTCAGAGTTGTTAATCCAGACTTTTATCCACCCATGGGGGAATTAGTTATCATAGATACAATAGCCTACTTGATTTTTTCAGTTGGATTACTGTACAGTGTATTTAGTGCATTTGTGGTATTTTCCTGAAGTTTGCTTTTCTTTATATCTGAAGAACATGATTAATACTATTTTTCAGGCAAAGCCTAAACTGATTCGAAAGGGACTAGTTGACTCAGCCTATTTGGTAAAGAAAAAGCAAATTATTTAAAAAATAATTGAGATGTGTTGTTTCAAGGCACAAACACAATATAGGAACCTTTTAACTAAATATCAGATCATTTTACACGTATCTCATAATCCCATTTCAAGACTTAATTCATGTAAAGCAAATCAGTATTTCTCAAAGTTTCATCCAACTGAAATCAGAGTGCATTGTTATCATTTCTTCTTCCTCTTAATCAAAAATGGGAGCATGACTTGTTACTTTCATCATGCCTTTATTTCCCTGGCCATGAGAATATAGTTAGTAAATGCCTCTACACTAAGACACAGTCAGCAACAAATAGTGTTTCCTGATGTACCTAAGACCCCTTTTCATTTCTCCTGCCTCTTTAAGGATGATCATATATATTCAAAAGAATTCTGTTAAAAAATATTTGAAGGTATCTGGAATATTTTGTAAATGTAAAAATGAAATTACCCTGTCATTAGTCTCATAAAGTCAATTAGATGAATTTTAAAATTCTTTTTAAAGAGAGTTATCCTTATTTTTTCTTTTTTTGATTAGCATTACTTGGAATGACAAATTCAGTACTCTAAATTAGGAATTTTTAAATATTTCAATTGTAGGAGGCTTAATGAAAATCTAAATTAGCATTTACAGGAGTATTTTCTAAAGGCAAATGTTTTTGTTCACCAAACCAATTTAATTCATTTTAAAGTTATTGCATACTAATTTGTTACTTGCCTGGAAGACGCTACATAAAGAGATTTCAAAAGTAAAATCAAGTATTTGTAGTGAAAAGTATAATTTGCATTTGCTATTTTCCTGTGGTATAAAAATTCTCATGAAGGAAGTGCATCCATCCTTCTTTCTTATTAGTAATTCCGTGGCAGAAATGGGGAGTAGACATTCCTGATTTTAAAAAGCTGTAGACTGTTATTTCATTAAAAAAAAAATGTCAACAAATTGTGTGTGTGTTACGATTTACCAAATTTAGATTTTAAAACTTTGATTAGTTTTTAAGACTCATATAAGAGGTTTTTCAGATTTATCTTTTAAGCTGTATTTAGTGTTGATTTGTCAGTTTTGTCAAATGAATCAAACAAGGGAAATGTAAAATTTAAGGTAACTTTAATATAAATTTTTCCACTTAATATGTACAAGGACTTTTTGTAAATGTAGTTCAGATTTTGTAAGAAAAACCTTTGCCCTTGCTACCCAAACACACAGATTACATTTTTTTGGATATGTATCTCATAAGTTCCAAATTGAGCAATTAGTATAGAATTTGAGACAACTTGATATATCAATTTTTAATTTCTCTAGGTTTTATAGCAAATCAGTGTGATAGAATGTGCAGTGGCAACTGTAAGAAAATGGCCAGTTTATCATCTTTATGACTCCTAGCTTTAATAGAATCATTGAGTTTTGCATTAATTAAAAGCCTTCCCAAAATATTGAGGTTTCATTATTCAGTATTTTCAAATGTTTCAGTTAAAGATACAAAACATGAGAATTCAGTATAAATTTTATAAGTATTAAAATTCATAATCTTTATCTTATCTCAGGTACAAAAATGGTCCAGTTAAACCAAAAGTGAATTTTTTAAAACTGTTATTTCCATTCTAAACTTTGAGCTTTACTACTTGTACTATTTATATATTAATTTATAATTTAATTCATGCATAGAGATCAGCAAACTTAAAATAATAGTACTTTCTTCATGGTTTGACCCTACTTGCTCATTTTATTGCTTCCTCTACTACATGTTTTTATGTTCAGTGACAGTGGTAACAGCCAGTTGATGACAATAGACTAAACTGATAATTCTGACTTAAACAGTTTTATATAGCAGTATCTAGTAATAAGAAAAAAGAAAATATCTCTCTCAAATTATTTTCACAACAAAAAGAAAATACAGGGCAGCCTGGTGGCTCAGAGGGTTAGCGCCGCCTTTAGCACAGGACATGATCCTGGAGTCCTAGGATCGAGGCCAATGTCTGGCTCCATGCATGGAGCCTGCTTCTCGTCTGCCTGTGTCTCTGCCTCTCTCTCTTTCTCTGTGTCGCTCATGAATAAGTAAATAAAATCTTAAAAAAAAAAAAAAAGAATATACAGGAAATGTCTGGATGAATAATTTTCTTTGGACTTTTCTTGTTTATATCAGGAAATTTTGCCAGAGCCTTTACTATTAGTGACTAGGGGAATGGAGAGACCTGAGTCTGGGCTAATTTTGGGAGATTTTGTGATAATTAACTATGTAACCTGGGCCCTGGTCAGAAAATTATCAGCTAAATCAGAGAGTTAGACTAAAGATCCCTTCCAATCAAATTCAAATTTTCTGTATTTTTAAAAGAGATAGCATGATACAATAGAGCAAAATTTTGTAGTCCAACTGAGCAAGATTCCTATCCACGTGAGTACTTATTAGCTCTGTAACTACAATCGGATACTTTGATACTTGAACTTCAAGTTCTTCATTTGCAAATTGAAATTATGGATACCTAATTAGTAATATTATTGTAAGGTTTGAAATATTCTGTATAAAGCAGCCAGTAAAGTCAGTAAAGTGATGGCTCTTAGTTGTTCAATGCTATTACTGATTCTTTTGAGTCAGTGACAGGAATCCTGTAAAATTTATATCAAGAGAGGAAACCGCACTTGACCTAAAGTTAAAGCTTCAGTATTAGCACATTTTAGGAAGATAAAGGTTTAGAAGTCTGAAGAGGCAGAAGAATATTCTCAGCACACAGAACTGGCTCCAGTTAATAGTGTACAGCAGATTAGTCACTTACACATAACCTACTTGATCTTTCCTGCCTCTTTTCCTTTTGGCAGGTGAACGTCCCTTCCACTGTAACCAGTGTGGAGCTTCTTTTACTCAGAAGGGCAACCTTTTGAGACACATAAAGTTACACTCTGGAGAGAAGCCCTTCAAATGTCCTTTTTGTAGCTATGCCTGTAGAAGAAGGGACGCCCTCACAGGACACCTCAGGACCCACTCTGGTAAGTGTCTGTGACTCTGAGAAGAAAGCTAAAATATAGGAATTCAGGAAAGTGTTATAGAATAATACAGAGAAACTTACATAGCTAGGAATGAGCTAGACAATATTTTTATTTGTGTACATTGAATAACTGATAAATCTTGCAAGATGCAAATGCCCTTCCTTTTTATAGACTTACAGACTTGGCAGAAAGTAGTAGCACTGTCAACTGAAGAGTCTCTTGAAGTAAGGAAACAACTGTTCTGTAGATTTTCTATGGTTTTTAATTTTATAATTATTCAGTCATTATAGTGAATCCAGGATAATGGAAAATCTAGTAAAATATCATAGTTACATGCGGATATTACCACAGAGGAGATGAAACCTGTGATATTTTTCAGTTCATATAGTGTCCAGGCTGGGACCTCAGTGGGAAATCAAATACCGCTATTTTTAAACTTGAAAATATTATGTTCATTAGAAAATTGGCTGTTAGAGTATTTTATATTTTATTTAAATGCTCCTTGTTTCTTTAACTCTCAAAATATAGTCATTGGAATTTGTCTGAAACTTTTCTTTGCTTCATAAATCATTACTTAAAAATTTAGAGTAAGTGTGATATTTTTAAAATACTGGAATATAGTACCTAAAAGAGAAAGAATGATTAGAAATCTGAATGAATCTCATTTGACTTTTAGCATGAATTGCCATAACCAAGAAGTTAAAGGTGGAAAATTAATATAGAATACTCTCAAGCCAGTTTTATATCCTCCTTCTGTCCATAATGACATATTAAAATTTAATTTTAATATGAAGATATGATGGAAGTGATATTTTCATCTACATTGACAAATTATATTAGAGAGTGCTATGGATTGTGAGGTAATGCTTATATTATCTTTTTTTTTTACGTTTTCCCTATTAATCCTTAAGGTTTTATTTAGTTTTTAACATGAAAGTGAAATGTGTAAAATTGTTTTAGACATTAACTTGTAAATTTGGAGCAGTTACAGAAAAACGAATGCAATTGTTAAAATATTTTAAGTACATGTAGTTATTTTCCTCCTTGATTCAAAGTAATTCCCTTATTTCCAACTGTGACATTTTATATTTTATTTTATATTATCCTATGAAAATTACATCTTTATTATAAAAATTATTCTTTATTGAAAGATGTTTTTAAGATGTGACAGTTACTTCCTTTAGCTAGCCATGCACTCTGGTTTATTAAAGCATTATTTAGTTGACCACTGATTTTTTTTTTTTTTTAAGATTTTATCTATTCATTCATGAGAGACAGAGAGAGAAAGAGGCAGAGACACAGGCAGAGGGAGAAGCAGGCTCCATGCAGGGAGTCCCAATGCGGGACCCGATCCCGGGTCTCCAGGACAGGCCCTGGGCCGAAGGCAGGCACTAAACCACTGAGCCCTCCAGGCTGCCCCAGTTGACCACAGATTGTATAAAACATAGATTTTCATGAACATTATCTATTACATGAAGTTGAGGAAAAAATATAGCTTTAAACATCTGTATCATTCTTTACAAAATTGTGTTGCTTTTAACATCATGGTTTAATGTATACATTTTACTTTACGTGGGATTGCTCTATTACCCTTAGAAGGTTCAGTGCCTTCAAAGCTCAGCCTCTGGAAGGTTTTCGATATTCACCTCAGTTTGTGTTGCCATGATTTCCTTTTTGTTCTTTTAACATATCCATCCCTGTTGGTGGTGTCGAAGAAGACACCTTGGTTTTTGTTTCTATTGAACTGGGCAGTTGCAATCAGCATCTTTTTTGCAAATTAGTCATGACTCATCTAGGGGTTCCTGACTGGTGGCTAATGAAATGAGGGATGAGAAAGACATTACGCCAAAAGTAGGCCATTCCCGTTGGCTTTCACCAGGTCAGACACTTGACACTATATGGTTCTGTGTAATTATAGTTTGCATGTATAAAGTAAAGCTCTTTCTGTGAAATTGTGAATTTTATATAAATAAGTATACTACTACTTTGAGGTTCAAAAAAATAAAGACATGGACCCTAACCATAATCATGCTGATGTTGCAATTTGGTATATAAAGTCATGATTTTATAGATATATATAAACAGATGGGATACTCAGACTGGCTAATTAAAGAGAATTTAATGGAACAATGAAAGACAGAGGAGGGTGTCATCCAGCTACTACATCATCAACAGGTGATATGAATTCAGTTATACTTCTAACTATAACCTAAAATGTTTGCCATCGCCAATACTTTTTTAATAGAGTATTACATAAAATATAGCTGCTAAAGTCCGCACCTCTCTAATGGTTCAGAAAGCCTAAATTGATCATTACAGCTTTCTTCCCCTACTACCAATTCCATTTTCCCCTTACTCTTACCCTCTTTTTTAGCACCTGGGCTGGACAGGATTCTTCATCTGATGAGTGACCCAAACCTTAATTTCTACAAATTCTGAGTATTTGATGGTCCTGTTTTCTTTGTATTACTGCAATTTTTCAATAACCAGGATTATTTGGCACTTTAAAAAAAAAAAAAAAGGAGGTGCTCCAGTGAATCTCCTGAGTTCCAAATGTAGCAACAACCCAAAAATCATCTTGGTAGTCTGGAAAAGTTACCAATCAATAACCCACTTCTCTCCCTGTTAGTTTAGCATCTTGAGATGCCCCATATGGCCAGGGAGTAGTCCACTATGACACTTCCAGAACTCTGATCCCTGGCGGAAAGATTCTTCCCTTGAACACCTAGCACATAGAGCAACATGCAAACTGTCTCCTTCTTCATGATGAAAGGAGCAAGATGAAGCCATTTTTATTTATTATAGAGGACCTAATTCAACATGTCTAGACCACCAAGCCCATAACATTTCGCTAATGCTGCTAGTCTCTGAACTTTTTGTGGCACTTATCTCCTGTCCTCTAGCATATATCTTACTGAGGCATCTCAGGTATTTATTACTTCCTGCTCACCGTGTCCAGTCAGTACTGTGAATGTAATGTTCCAACTTGATGTTCTGTGGGATGTCAAGATGAACAAGAATTCTTTGGACTATAACAAAGAGGAGAGTTGACCTTCCCTTAAGCTAAGATAATAAAAGTATGCTGTCCCTGCAATGTGAAAGCAAAGTGCTTCAGATCTATTGATAAGGAATTATTTTCTAAAGAAATTGTTAAGTTAATACCTCCCTACCTGGTATCAGGGGCTATGTTAATAGGTTCCAGTAAAGATATTACAGCTAGAACTGCATCTGCAGTTGACATTTTGATGTGATTAAGACTGCATGCATCCACAGAACCATCTAGCTTGCATTAGCCTAATAAACAGTATAAATGGGTGTGTAGTAGGAATCCTCCCCTTCTAACATCTTTCAGGTTTAACTTAACTATCTTTAAGTCTAGGATTGTGATCTCCAGTGTGGTAGCCACTAGCCTCCTGTGGCTAGTGCCACATGTTGAAATGATATTTTTTATTAAGTAAAATCTACTGAAATTAATTCGACCTTTTTACAGTGTGGCCACTAGAAAATTTAAAATTCCTTGTGTGGACTCATTTGCATTGGACAATACTGTTCTTGGCTTTTGTAATAGCCATGGATCAGGGAACCAACAAAAGGATCCTTCCCATTATGAAGTTTATTTGTTCCCCCAATACTGTAAGATCAACTTGAGTAAAGTCTACATATATATCTTGACCTCCGTTGCCCCTACTTTGAACAGGTGGACTACATTGACATTTTGGGTTCCAGAGATTAATGCCAATGGAGAGCTAATCCAATAGACCAATAATCTGTGGTAGGACTTAGAATTTCCCTTCCCTACCATAGAGCCTCTACCACTCTGAGATCACATATACATTTAAATCAGGGAGCCCAGATCTATTGGCAACATATCTCATTGTTCTAACCTAGAGAAGACAGTTACCAGCTTTTTACCAGTGTAATTACCAGTGTAATTCTTTGGTGAAGGGAGTGTCCCATAGCCCCTTCCAGAAGTATATTAAGTGGCAGGCTGAAATAGGTGATTCATAATAGAGTCTTTCCATTATTCTTACTTCTTTGGGCCTTTGTTCTTATTCTCTTTGCTATGCCAGGAAAATCCTGTCATTTCACCTTTTTACTAATAAGCTGTCATTGAATCAAGGATTCAATTAACCAGTCACTCTTACTTGCTCAAGGCAAAATCTTAATCCCAAATCCCAGGTGAGTGCATATCTATTGATAAATTTGGCACAATCTAGCATTTTGTTTCATATTCTTGGTATAAAACCCTTAGATGCGATTCTTTCCCTTATGTGCTAACTGGATTCCTGCTGATACAAATGGGCAGTGTTGCAATTCTTTAACTATATAGGCTGTCACCTCCTGGATCAGGCCTTTTGCTTATTTTAAGATCTAACTTAATAGGAGCCTAGGGGCAACGAGAGTTAATAGGAGTGAGTCCTGAAAAGAATTGGCGTTTTCTGATTGGGTTCTTGCCTCAGTTGCAGCAATCAAGTCTTCCTTTTTGGGAATGCTGATTTATGGGAATATTAGTTTACTTAGATGGAAAGGTGGGAAGTGAGGGGTGTCTTCCAACAAGGATGATTGGAAGTGTTTGGGAATTCAACATTCTGAGCCTTAGTATATGATCAATTAATACCAACCCATGTTTCATTAGTCCATTACCAAGACCTAGGTGTATTGGTATTGCTAATTATTAGCCTTATTTGCCCTGAGGCGATAGGATCTTTTTTTAAAGCTGACAAGAGGACCTTGATATTCCACTTCCGCTCTGACATGAAGTGAGCATTTAAGGACAAACTGTCCTTTTTCCTTTGTGTAATCCTTGGGGCCATCAGAATTAGCCATATCACACTACAGTCTTCACTCTATGCAGCACCATTGTCATGTCAGCAAGTAAAGGCTACATGCTGCCAGCAGTGATAATTTGGGTAGTCATATTGCCAGCAAATACCTAGAATTAGTAGTAATCCATTAACTCCCCAGTAAGGAAGCCGTCCTGTTCTCTTCAAACGGAGCAA